CTTTTATGTGATGTCTAATTACAGTCAAGGTCATCTAAAACCAATTTTAGAGGTCTCTAATTAAATATTTAAAGACAAGCAAGGTCAATAACCTCATTTTTATACGGTGTATATTACATTTTTCAAGGGCATACAAGGCCAATGACCCCATGTGTTAAATAACATGCTCGGGGTCATCCAAGATCAATGATCTCATTTGTATGAGGTGTCTAATTACATGCTCAAGGTCATCTAATTTCATTTGCAAGGTCTCATTTTTGTGGTGCCATAATTCATTTTCAATGTCATCAAAGATCAATGATCTCAATTTTTTCTGTGTTAGATTCTATTTTCAAGTCAATCAAAGGTCAATGATCCCTTTTTGTAATGCCATCTATTTTTATTTTCAAGGGCATCAAAGGTCAACAGCTTCTTTTTTTGTTGTCAAATTACAATTTCAATCTGCATTTTTATGTGGTTTTCAATTACATTTTCGAAGACATCCAAAGACAATGAACCTATTTTGTGTTGTATCAAATTACTTGTTCAAGGTTATAGAAGGGCAATAACCTCATCCGAAATCCAAAATCCGAATTCTGAAATTTGAAATTTGAAATCTGAAATCTGAAATCTGAAAACTGAAATCTGAAATCTGAAATCTGAAATCTGAAATCTGAAATCTGAAATCTGAAATCTGAAATCTGAAATCTGAAATCTGAAATCTGAAATCTAAAATCTGAAATCTGAAATCTGAAATCTGAAACCTGAAATCTGAAATCTGAAACCTGAAATCTGAAATCGGATATCTGAATTCGGAAATCTGAAATCTTAAACCTGAAACCTGAAATCTGAAATTTGAAACGTGATATCTGAAATCTGAAACGTGAAACATTAAAATCTGAAATCTGAAATCTGAAATCCGAAATCCGAAACCCGAAACCTTAAAAACTGAAATCTGAAACCTCAAATCTTAAATCTGAAATCTGAAATCTGAAACCTGAAATCTGAAATCGGTAATCTGAATTCGGAAATCTGAAATCTGAAATCTGAAATCTGAAACCTGAAACCTGAAATCTGAAATCGGAAATCTGTCATCTGAAATCTGAAACGTGAAACCTTATAATTTGAAATCCGACATCTGAAATCGGAAATCTGAAATCTGAAACGTTAAACCTTAAAATTTGAAATCTGTCATCTGAAATCTGAAACCGGAAATCTGAAACGTGAAACCTCAAAATCTGAAATCTGAAATCCCAAAATCCGAAATCCGAAATACGAAACCCGAAACCTTAAAATTTGAAAACTGAAACCTGAAATCTGAAATCTGAAATCAGATATCTGAAATCGGATATCTGAATTATAAAATCTGAAACCTGTAACCTGAAATCTGAAATCTGAAATCGGATATCTGAAATCGGATATCTGAAATCTGGAACCTGTAACCTGAAATCTGAAATCTGAAATCCGACATATGAAATCTGAAACCTGAAATCTGAAATCTGAAATCTGAAATCTGAAATCTGAAATCTGAAATCTGAAATCTGAAATCTGAAATCTGAAATCTGAAATCTGAAATCTGAAATCTGAAATCTTAAATTTGAAATCTGATATCTGAAATATGAAATCGATTGCAACAGTCGTAATCATCAGGATTGACACAAATAGTGCCAAATAGAGCAGTTGTGTATACAAAATCCGAATGATCCCATTAATCTGAAATGAAACAGTATCTCTCTGTCAATATTAACTCCTAACAAAGTTGCATATACCAATAAAGTTATGATTGCAATTGCAACTTTGTACTGAAACCGTGCACGAACGCGATTTATGTTTAGAATTAGAACGGCGTTTCTTCGCAACTTAACACATCGCATAAACGAGCGAGATTTTATCCCCATTTCAATTTTCCATCGGCGATGACGCAGTGCCTTCATTTCGAAGGCAATAAACCGATCATTTTTGCTTGTAGGACGATATACATTGTCGAGTTGCAACTTTAACGTAAGATTTACTGCCATGTTCGAGATAAGAAACATTCCCCTCGACTACCTATCCAACACGAAAAGTCCTCCGCCGACATTTCGTGGGAGGGCGACGGAGCACAATGGAACGGTGTTTGGAAAATGTCACGATTACCGTTACATATTCGTTGTTGCCCAAAGAAAACTTTTGCCCATAATAACGTAAGGGAGGATGTGGAGAAGTTGTAAGTTTTATCGATTGAACGTTGGCTCATTTGTTGTGGAACTTTGCTGAGGTTGTGCTTTATGTGGACGAATTTATGGGTAATAGAAAGCTTCAATTTTCCGCTTGTCTTCCACTGAAAATATGACTCTAATTTCCTTTTATTAAATGTTGTGAAACGCTTTTAAACATTTTTATTGGAAATAACTTTTAAAGGACATCTTAGTGTCCTTTTACACTTAAAAGATCTTTTGCAATAAAAGATGGTTAGCAACCCTTGATCTCAGTCAGAAATATGTTTTCGATCACCGATTTTCCAGTTCCCAGAATGTAAAATTCTTAGACACCGAACTTCAGACTTCAGATGTGAGATCATCAGCTTCCCTTATATATTGCCATACTATCCCCCCCCCGCTCCACCTCATCGTTTAAGCGTTGAAGGGCATCGGTTGATAGGTCGGTAGCTCTTCGGGTTTTGGTCCTGGGTTTTTTGCTTCCTTAAAAGGATAAAAACCAACATCTACCTTCCTTAGTCCTTGGGAATATAGCTTAGAGACTAACCCCTAAAAGATTGACTAGCGTTGGCGTTTCTCCAATCACTTGATCGATCAACCCTCTGCAAAGTCTGCGGTACGTCCCAATCTGTTCTACAAGGATCTCTGTATGAATTTTCGGTTTGCTTCTCAGAGGCATATTTCTCTGTGGTCTGATAGAGAGGGCTCGTCAGAGAGTGGAGGCTTTAACTACTCCTGCAGTGATATTTTAACCACAGACACTTCTAGTAAAGGCCCTTAATGTCGCAGTATTGGGTATCCGCGTCACTGCGCCACACAGGACGGATTAAGCGGAAACTTTCCCTTGGCTATGGTTGAGCCACGACCAGGACTTGCTCGTTTGGTTGGGGCTTTCCCCCACTTCGATTGGTGGGTTCTGCTTTGAGTGTTCCACTAAAGACTTCTTTAGGTTTTAAGGTTCCAATCTTCTCGGTGGGTTTGGTCTGATTGGTTTTTTTGATCGGCCTTTCTCTGTCGGCGAGTGAACTTGCCTGACCCTGAGATTTTCTTGACCTACTTTCCAAGGTCAAACACAGAAGAGCGCTTAGTTGAAGAGGCTAGTGCCGTTCAGTCTCACCTTGATCCACTTTCCAAGCTCACCGTCACGTGGCAAGTGACTTTTTCTAACTTTACCTTCACCTACTTCCTAAGGTCACCGCTAGGTGACGAGGGACCTCGAACTAATCCAGGCTCGCCCCTGCTACGCTACTAAGGCAAAAGCCGTCCTTCAATCCGAAATTGAAGAGTTCTAAATAACCGAATGCGAAAAGAAAGAAAAATCCGTGTAAATATTCAGTACGGAAATGTTACACGCTACTCGTTTTAAAAATAAATCTACGAGAAGAAAAAACAGCCCTAGTGCTAACGTATACTGAAGTTTGTGTTTGGGTAGTAAAAAAACATTACGTGAGGAATATTTAAAGCAGTTAGTTTAATGGCGAACGCAACAGTTTCGTTAGAATGCAAATTAATCTGACGTTTATTCGTGAAACCATTCAGTCTTGTCGTGGAAATGCACCCTCTCGGTAAGACCAGCGTGCGATCGATTGCGTGTTTGGAACTATCGAAAAACAATTATAGAAGTACGAATGCGCTTTTCCGGCAAGTAAATAAGAGAAAGAGAAGGTTTTAAGAAACAAATTAAATCAGTTTCGCTTTGAAGTTGATTGAATTCAATTTCCGATCAACTTCACAAGAAGAGAACAGAAAACCAAGAAAACGTCGGTGGTATTTCTTCTGGAGATCTAGGTTTCATTTCAGCTTTAAAGCACGGGCTCTTTCGAGAAGGGCGGTATTCATTTGTGCCATAGGGAAATCATTGATTCCAGAATATGCTATTATTAAGGTAACGTACTTTTTTATTTGTATAAAAAATAACGATCGGTTGTCTCTAAGAAATTGCGTAAAAATTTCATTTAAAGTAATCGGAAAAATTCTTTTAAGGAATCGATCTTTGTAAATTGACTGAATGGAGCAAAGTAATATCTTCTGGGCCAAATTCCATCTATTCCATCGATTCGTTGCTGAGGTCCTCCTCTTCTTCCTCCAATGGACGAGGGATGGTGAATGCTTCTGCCTCAACAAAAGCGTTGGAGCACGCCTGGCCTTTACAAGTAGTGCAGCAGGATGCCTTTCGACAGGTGCATCGCCCCCTGAGCCCCATCCTACATTTGCTTGAGTTGATTTCCATCCCAATCGAGGAGGCCCTTTCCCATCTTCACCAGACCTGTACCTGCTGGTATGCCCTTCATGGTACTCTAACAAAAGGTCTCAACGAAAGGAATTCATTTGTACTAACCATAGTCTTCCTCCTCGATCCCTTGTCGTGATCGGTTATAATTCCTTATATGTTAAGACTGAATTGTCAAACGAAAGTACCTACAAAGGGCGATTGGGACGTTTGGAAGAAATATAACCATTAGGCATGTAAATAAAATTTGATACATAGCCACTTGGAATACGCCAGTTTCAAAATTTCGTTTTGCGCATGCGCAGTGCCAACTTTCTTATTTATGGAGGAATTTAAATGAAATTTGATACATAGCCTCTTGGAATAAAAGCAAATGTAGCGCCATTTTCCAAATTTGGTTTTGTGTAGGATGTGCAGTGCCAACTTTCTTATTTATGGAAGAAATTTCGTAGGGGTGTTTAAAAAAATGCGCTTTACCTGCACAAGGGTTGTGCACAATTTGTACTTGTTAGATTTTGCCACGTGTGTTTATGAACCCAGTAAATTGTGAGTCTCTTGTTAGTTTGGACAAGAAATAATGATTATCTGTAGGTATTCTATTAAAAAATAATTAGGTGCAACTGTCAATTACGTAATCCTTATAATACTGTAAAGAAAAAGTGGTGGGAAGTACAGGTATAGCACCACCTTTAATCTTTTAACCATGGTTCCTACCACTACTGTTTATGATCTTTGTGTTTGACTCTAAATGCCGGAATTCTATCAATCACTGCTCGCAAAATGCTTGGAGGTGTTCGCTGATGTTTTGCAATTAACTCTTCAATGGCGTTTGCCACCTGAAAAAACGCAGTGACGCCAATGGCATAAATTCGCCGGTTACCTTCATTTTGAGCTGCTCTGGAGATAATTCCGGGTCGTACGGTATTGGCTTACCAATATGAGTGATTAATTTTACCGGAAACCCACCGTAGATCGGGGTGAACGGAAATTTAGTTGCGTTGTAGATCTTTTCAAAAAATGATCTTCCTGTACGTAGTGTCCTATACGCTTCACGCACATTTTCGGTGAACACCGGAATGATTGGCTTTAAAAGAATTGTCACATACTCAAGTGTCCACAGTCACTTACCACTTTGGCATTAATGGCAACCTTCGCGAAACCCACTCGATTTTTCCATAGTAAATTGTACTCATGGCTAAATTGGGATTCGTAAACACCTCCGGGGAATATTGCCAACAAGTTTCCGTCTTTGAGAGTTTTTGTGCATGTTTCCTGTGATCCCGCTATTACACCCATGCAATCCAGTAAAGTCTTCAGGCCTAAAGTTATTATAGACGCTTCAGTAGCAAATGTTGCAAAACACACAGGATAAACGCACCTGGTACCTTAAAAAGGAAGTAATCCGCAACCACATGTAGTATCCTGTCTTTGTGAAAAAAAACGGTCACCAGTAAATAGTAGATGTCTATAGGCAATGCTCCGTGATAAAAAATGAGTAAAGCAGGTCCAGAATCGGGTATGTTTTCTAATCCTTGCACTTCATAGCCTAAAACATAATCAGCTGTGGTGGAAAGAAATTAAATTTGATTATACACACCGTTCCATATCCGACCATGCAGGTACCATGTGTATCTATGCGCTCTGGATGCAACATTATTTGTCGTAGTAAGGAGATCATATGGCTTTCGTAATATTTTGCAGTATATCACGTAAACAGTTACAATTAAAGCACTTTGGTATAGTAAAACAGCTATCATAAATGGAAGAAGAATAACCGCAAGTAGTAGCAATAACATCCATACGATCACCATGATGTTTCTTGACACCCGCGCTTATTTGCGTATTTTGATAAGAAAAAATTTTCGTCTCTACGCCAAGCATATGCCAAAGTATCAAGTATCAAGAAATGTTTGTCTCTAATACATTCCCACTGAAATTAAAGAGTAATCGGTGCTGTGGGTTTGTACAATGAAAATCCGTAGAAATTAAAACAGGATTATATGCTGATATGAGACCCTCAACGGACTTTTGTATGGATAATCGCGGTACTATAAGCGTACGTCAAGATTTCCCACGAAACAAACATCAAGGCAAAGTCAAGATTAATTCCCAAATGAACTACTAAGTGTTTATTATGACTGGTTTCATAATTTTTTTGTTTATCGAGTGACCATATGGCATCCGTAAAAATTAGAATGAAATCCACAAGCCATGGGAATTGTATATTACAACCATCAGAAGAATGAGAATAAAAGATTCAAAATCCATGTGGTCGCTAAAAATCGATCAAATTCATGTTTTGGTCATTGAGATAATGCTCTTGGTCTTTTTCCCAGCGTTCTTGGTGCATAAATAACGATTTTAACATGTTTTAATCAAAATCCACGTGGTCGCAAAAAATAGATCAAATTCATGTTTTGGTCATTGAGATAATGCTCTTGGTTTTTTTCCCAATGATCTTGGTGCATAAATAACCATTTTGACATATGTTGATCAAAATCCATGTGACCTAAGAAAAATAATTTAACATCTTTCAATCACACACATGCGGTTATCAAATGTGCTCGTGATTTACTCTTTCATCATCAAGATAATGCGTTTGAAAACGTTTAAAACTCCAAATCCATATGTACGGGTACATCTTGCTCTAAAACTTTTGACCTCTATCACAGAGAAGAGAATGGAATTGTTACACATCTAAGAGTCATAGGGAATAATCTAGCTAAAGTTCGAACTCGATACATGACCTAGGGAATGAAATATCTTGATTTCTATTATATTGAGCCCGCATTTTTCCTGTTCCCGATTCGCTCGAAGTCCTATAATTTTTGTACCTGTTGAAGCAGCTTCTTGAAAAACAATAGCGTCCGTCCTTAATGTCCAAAGTACCCGTACACCAAATTTCAACACAATCGGCCACTTAAAAAGAGTTAGAGAGCATAAGAACGGACGCGCGGATGGACCAACGTACGTACGGATGGACCACAATACAAAACTATAAAGGATCTGAGGATCCTTAATAATTATGACGTAGGGCATGAACATAATTCTGGGACAATAAAGGCAAACAAATTTCTAGAATTTATAGAAGTTTCTAGAATGTCGAATTGTTTTATGTTGGTCTTAAGGAATGGTTATTTAAAGCTCAGGTGATCAGTTAAAATCCTTTCATTGTAGAAGTAACGTACTCAGTAAATGAAATTGGAAAGGCAATACCCATTGAATAAAAATGTGCAGTTTAGAAGCATTTGTTAAAAATATATCAGCGCCAACTCACTATCGGAATACTCCACTACAAGGTAAATTCGTTTCAATTAAAATTAATTAATTGAATTAGGGATATAATGTTTTCAAGTATCCTTTGTAACCATAAACTTTTCTTGCGGTCTTATTTGCAAACTGTTAAGGTATAAAGTCGTTTATGTTACACCACTAATAACTCAAGAACAGCTGGACCGATGTTCATAATCTTTGATTTGTGAAATTCAACTTTGACCCGAATATCAGATTAACTATTGAAATATCGAAAAAAAAACACGAAATAAGTTTAAAGAAAATTATTATAAAAGTTAATAAGAGAACACTCGACAGAAACCGTCAAATCAACTGTTTTCAATCCTACCAAACGTCAAATTAAAAACTATCAAATTAAATAGTGATAGATATGGGTTATTCATAATTTCGAGTTTGGTCAATAAGTAAACATTACGAGAGGAATATCTAAAACAGTTAGTTTAATGGCGAACGCAACAGTTTCGTTGTAAGGCAAATTAACCGGACGTTTATTCGTCGTAACCCAATCAGCAAGTATTATCGTCTAAATGCAGTAAAATACACTCTTTCCGTAAAATTAGCGTGCGATCGATTTCTTGTTTAGAACTATCGAAAAATCATAAAAGTACGAGCGGACTTTTTCTACAACTAAATAAGCGAAAGAGAAAGTTTTAACAAACAAATTAAATCAGTTTCGGTTTGAACTTGCAGTGAGCTATTAATATTATTATATTGTGAATGCGGAAGGTTGATTGAAAGCAGACGGTCCAATTCCCGATCAACTGCACAAGAAGAGATAAGTGTCCAAAAAATTCAAGAAAACTTCACTAGTCTGGAGATTCAGGTTTCATTCCAGGTCCGGCCGCTTCGAGAACAGCGGTATTGATTAAGGTAACGTACTTTTTCATTTGTGTACAGAATAGCGATCGGTTCTCTTTAAGAAATTGCGTACAAATTTTATCGAAAGTAGTCTGACTGAATAGAGCAAAATATATCGTATAAAGTAATTGTTTGAACTCGCATTTAGAAAGAGTTTTTAACGGATTGCCTATCCTAGAAGGGCGATCGTACTCACTCACTCCTCAATTTATATTTAGGGAAAGCTACTGAGGAGATGGCATCCCAACCAGACATACATATTCATCTTCACGGGTGCATCTAAAACAATGGAAGGAACATGCACCGGCATCTACTCCAAAGAACTGAACTTCCTACTGTATTCCAATCAGAGTTGGTAGGACTAACGCTCAGTGCAAGAAAAGTTCGTTTGCATAAAAAAATAACAAAACTATCAGAATTTCCAGTGACAGCAGGGCTGCCCTGCAGGAACTTGGTCACTGTAAAATTACCTCTAGGTTGGTTTACGAATGGCACCATGCACTAGAGCAAGTAACAAGGAGCAACACTCTTGAGCTCGCATGAGTCAAAAGGCATGCTGGAATGGAAGGTACCTAATGAGAAAGCCGACTGGTCGACTTACAAACAATAAGAAAACCGCATACCGCGAAGTACATACAAGAGTGTCATCTTTTTAGCGCATTTTTTAAGAATTAAAAAAATGTGCTATCGTTTGCGTTTTGTCCGTCCGTCCGGACCCCCTTCTGCCGTTTCGAACTACTTCTAGGCTTTGAATATAAAATTAAGAAGAAGTCTAACTATTGCAAATGGGAACTTGTGGTTTCGTGACAATCGGATGAGAGGTAAAGTGTACTCTTTGATTGCTTATCATATATTAAGATACATATATACCATCCCGGACTTTTATGTAGGAAATTAAATTCTCTACAATTTATCTTTTATAACTTTTTTTGTATCTCTTTTTGTTTTCTCAGCGTTTGTTGTTGTTGGGATGATCGAAGCGTTGTAAAAATTGAAACTGTCGTTATTTTTTGACATTCTGCTCAAAGCGCAAAGGAAATATGCGAAAATGGGAAATGAAAAAAATGATAAGTTCTTATTTTTATTTTTATTATTAGCGCAATTCACTTATTATCGAGCTCCTTGCGAGTAGAGTACCTATATAATTTGGTGTCTGTTCGTCTGTCCGTTAGCACGATATCTCGAAAACGAATGAGACGATTGCGACGAAATTTTGCAGGTGGATTCTTGATCAAATTTGTAGATCAGAGTTCGTGAATTGGCACTGTAGCCCAAAAAATAAGGAGAGCCCTTTTGACATCTCCGTGAGTTATGAACTGAATTGTATGAAATTCAATATGGGCATAGGTTTAGCAATATAATACGCAAAGGCAAAAGTTGAACCTAATCGATTCAAAATGCATAGTGCCTTTTTGGTATCTCGACCATTTATGAATTGAATTGCAAACTTTTTGTAAATTATAAATGTATTCAAATGACATTTGATACATATTATGCACTTGAAAAATGTAACGCCATTTTCAAAATTTGATTTTGCGCATGCGCAATGCCAACTTTCTTATTTATTTATGAACATAACAGGTTACCCCAATAACAACGTTTATGTATTGTTAATAAAAAAAACTATTCGAAAACATATAGAATATAAAAAATATATGTTAAGAGTATTAAAATAAAAAAAACAAAAGAAATAAAAAAGAAAAAAAATGCGGTGAACAATTTTTTACAGTCCTTGGATATTGTCACACGATCTTTCAAACTGTCTTAGGGACATATAAAAAATATCTATGGTGTTCTTCCATAAACGCACGCTATTATAGAACGCATTTTTGAAATTTTATACATATGCACCTGGAATAAAAGCAAATCTAACACCAGGTTCAATTTGGTTTTGCACATACTATAATTCATCAAAAGTACGGTTTGGGCTGGATGTCATTTCACTCAACAAAACCAAGTGTACTCTATGTAAAAACATCCGCTGAATCCGAAAATCATAATCCCCTGGCCGGAAACTCCCGAAATATATTATTATAAACAAAAAAAAGTATTATCTCGTTAACTATTGCCCCGAGGCAAAAAAATTAAGAGAAGTGATATTTTTATGAACTTTTCCATTTTTTTTCCGGTGAGGTATTCAAGTGAATTTGTTTATAATCGAATTGTCTACTGTGACATACATTTAGTATGGAACGTTCATTTTTAATTGTTATTGTTTTTTATGGAGAAATATTAGGGATATAAGGTTTTCAAGTAGTCCTTGTAACCATAAACTTTACTTACGGTCTGATTTGCAAGCTATAAAGTCGTTTATGTTACACCACTTATAACTCAAGAACAGCTGGACCGATTTTCATCATCTTTGATGTGTTGAATTCGTCTTCGACTCGAATAGCAGAATAACTATTGAAATATCGAAAAAAAAAACGAAACAAATTTAAAGAAAAGTAAATAGAAGACTCACGACAGAAACCGTCAAATCATGGTTTTCAATCTTACCAACCGTCAAATTAAAAACTATCAAATTAAAAAGTGATAGGTATGGGTTATTTACAATTTCGACTAACTGTAAATACCATACCAATAAACGCTTGCCGTTTAAAATTAGTGTATTTAACCTTGCCTCACTGCAGTACCTAACACTGTATTTTCCTTTGTTTAAAATTTGAACTTTTATTTAAATTTTATGGATTTCGTATTTCAAAAATATGGGGCATACATTTTACAGACTTTTCATAATTTCGCAAACGAAATGTGTAAGCGTTTTATGTTTATCAGAAAAGGATGGTTCGTATTT